TACCTTTGTTAAGCTGTGTGCGTACTTATCGACCAACTCACGTGTGAATTTAGCAGCATCCGACCCACAGATTTTTTTCGCTGCATCTTCAAAGCAGTCAACCAGCTCGTTAATGGAACTAACATAAATTAATAACATAAGTGAACTTGATCGTTGTATTAAGTTTAGTACTAACCAGCAAATTGTTTTCACATTTTCAACGAAGGTGTTATTTTCGGCGGCTTCCTGATTTTTATTTGGTTTAAGAAAGACCATGGTTTCCTTAAATTGGTTAGCACAAGTCTCAAATTCTTTCTTAGCAATTTCGCTACAAGGTGCATGCCTAAGATATTCTAGAACAATAATTAAATGCAGCAAAGTTATTCATGAAATAATAGTGCAGATTTTATTAACAAATTGTCAAAAGTATTTTCTAAATGGATCTCCTTACCATCTTGAAATTCGCCTTTATTACACAAGTCCCGAATAAATTGGTTGGTTCCATGGTATAATCTATTAAATTGATTACGTTGTTGTAAGTCCATGCATCTTCTTGTGTAGCTCTGTATACATCTTACACCTTTTCGTAATTCACTACAATCAATAAAATAATAATCTGATAAAATGATTGGGTTTCATTTAAATAAAAAGCATATCACATATGTGGATTAAATTTTAAGAGAAATGTGTCATAGTGAGCTACGCTTAGTATTTGCAAAAGAGCTTTTCGATAAATTAAATCCGGTATTTGCAAAAGTATATCTGCTCACGTTAGTATTGGCAAAAAAGATCTATAGATCATCTATAGAGCCGTCTGAAGGTCATGAACCGCCAAATAAAAGCACCCTTACTATTAATAATACTAGTAGTGATTATTATTATTAGTTAATTTTAGTAATTACAATTCCAGGTAATACTAAAAAAAATAAAATAAAAAAGGTAATCTAGCGGAAGTGTGGTGACCAACAAAGTTATAAAAAAGTATCAGAACTAGAAAAAGTTTTAGTGATCTCTGAGCTAATTCTTTCGTCCAAGTACCCAAGAGGCACTGTTCAGGCTTAGGCCTTCATGTTCTGCAGAATTTTTGTTTTCAAAGTATATTAGTTAATATTTTTGTTATTAATAGTCATATTTTTTATTTGTAAATTTATTATTTATATTTTTTGCAGCAAAAATATATGTTGTAATAATTTGTTGCTTGCACAATTTTGTTAATTTGTTAATAATTGTTTAGTTTTTATTTGTATACTGCAAATTAATGCATATGTTATTTTGAATTATATTAATTTAATAGAAATTGTAAATACACTTATTGTTATTTTGTATATAAATAACAATATGAACAATAAAAGATCAGATCGAAACTTTATACGGCAACAGCTCAAGTGCTAGTCTGCCATTTCAAAATATCTAAAAGTAACAGCTAAAATACTAGAGACTGCTCAAAACTCTACTACAAAACTACTAGTTTATGTGTTACGTAGTCTAAACGATTAAAGGATAGCCTTTATTCGTTTTCAGGCACTGTTACTACACCATAAAAATCACTCTGAACGGTTATTGTACACAATTTCAATCAATTCGGATTCAAATCCGAGTTGATTTCGCCCTGTCCTGCGATTTCCTCATCACCGCTGGAGATCTCCAGGCTTCTCTCTTAGGTTCACTTCTTTTGAACCTGTTTACAGTAGATATACCTCTTCTGCAGGCCTCTGTCAAGTAAATTTGCTTTGTTGACAACTGTCTCGTCTTTATTGGTTCTAAAAACCCGCTTTTACCAGCTTAATGGCCACCTTAAAACCCTTCACAGTTACTACACTAGGAAGAAGATTAAGCTCAATTCCACCAAGATTTCTGCCATCGCCCTCTAAGGCTTAAGGTGAGATCCCACTAAAGGCTTTGATGTTACACTCATCGAGCTAGAATTCGACAATATCCACATTCAATTTACTAACAACCTTACCCACTTTACAACTTCGTCCGATATGTTGACTATGTCATTCAAAACGCTACTCCTACGTATTTGGAACTAAAAAAAATTCTCTTCGAAAATAGAATAACCTTTAATGGCCATCTTAGAACCCTTTACAGTCATTACACCGGAAAGAAGATTATGCTCAATTTCTGCGACCCCTCCTTTTGGGCTAAAGGTGAGATCGCACTAAAGGTTTTCATACTACACTCATTGAGCTAGATTTCGATTCATTTTGCTGACAAGCTCAAATATCTCTGTGTTGTGCTATCCCCATCTTACAATTTCGTCCGATATGTTGACTATGTCTTTCAAAACGCTACTCCTATGTATTTGCAACTAAAAAAACGCTCTTCGAAAAACCTTTACTGTGATGTTAAGTTGCTCTTGTCTTTAAAGAATGGTAGCCCTGCTACTTGCTGGTACTGGACATCTACACAATAGATGACAGTTTGACAGTTTGTTCTTCGTAGGTAAGTTAATTTAGTGTTAAGAGTAAGTTAATATAACACGATATGTTAATTTTATATAATTATTTATTTTCTATAATATCGAATTAACATAAAAGTATTTCATATTAAAATATACATTAAAGCTTAAATAATAATTTGTTATTTATTATTTTTATTTTATATTAGTTGTGTTTTTTGTTTTCAGGATTATTACTTATTTTTTGAATTTGTGCGATAATTTTTTTGTGCAGTTTTTCTACATAATCAGGTATGTAGTATCTATTATTATTTTAGGCAAATTTTGGGTGGGAAAAAAACAAATATAAAAAGACAAAAGAAAAAAAAAAGGCCATTGAAATTTGAACAACTGGTCCCATTCCACAATTGTTGAAGTTTAATAAGTTAGCCAACTGAAAAAATCGAGCCAATTGCATAAAACTCAATATAAATCAGTGTCGAGCTATGAAATGTGGCAGTTGCCCAAATGGACAAATTTTGGAAATAGTAGACAACTTCACTTAAAATTATTAATACAGTTTCTATCTATCGTTATGTACTTTATATGTATATATAGGAGTCTGTATACATACTATACATACCATACATATATAAGGATATATATACGTATATAAGAAGGAGAGAGATTTTATATTTGCTTTTTATGTAGTAAGCTGATTTTCCAACCTATTCTACTCTATATTAACTTTTGTTTGAATCATGGAATGCATTTAAAATAGCCAGTGATAAGTATTTCTTTTCTTGATTTTAAAAATGTATTAAAAAAAGTTTGTCAACAAAAAGTTGCAAATTCAATTTAAGTCCCATGACGATTGCCGAATAAAATATTTCACTCCTGCCATTTTTCGTTGGAAACTTTGCTTAAACTATATCAACTGATAGCATCAAAAATTTTAAAGGAACACAAAAAATAAGCCAATATTAAATGAAAATGTTTAGTGAAAAACATGTTTACAATACAAATTGCAGCAGGTCAAATTATAAGCAAATACCAAAATAAAAAACGTGCTTATTACCGATGAATAAAAATTTGGTTTGTGTAACATGAAAGGACGAAAGACGAAACCTACAGAGACATAAATATGAGTATTTAGCATTATTAATCTACTATAGGTTAGGATTGCATACACTCCTATTCGTATTTGGATTCGTATACGGATTCATTATAAGTACGAGCTCCAGTTCGAGTATGGAGCATAGAGTGTGGAGTATAGAGTATGGAGTATGGAATATGGAATAAGGCAATTTAACTAATTTAGTTTTATTTACTATTAATTTTGGTAATTAAAATGGACACTTTAAACGAGAGTATAAAAAAAAAAAAATTTAAAAATATCTGACAACTAACTTACTGACAAAGTTTATCTAGTTCTTCCTTTTTAGCGCCACCAATGGAAAACTCTGAGGTTAAATGTAATATTTCGATCGGTTCCGCACATTTGGTAAATTCCTCTTGTCCACATTCTTCGCTGCTCACGGACGTCGTTAGTACGAATGAAACTGAAACAAATCGAAAGTTGTATAATTTTTTTAAAAGAATTAAAAATTAAAAGGAGCAAAAAATCCTGCTACGTAGTACGTACTACGTAGTACATACTACGTACTCGTAAGTACGGGTAAGTAAAGCAGAAAAAACTTTAGCAATACAACTTTTGTACTATGATATATAAAAGCGTTCAATATAGTATAGTATAAGAACCAGAAAAAACACTAACGAATTGAACTTAAACTAAAATCGCAGTGGACGAAAGGAATAGATTGTGAAGGATTTTTTCTGTTTTTGCTTGAAAGTTTGCACAAAAGTGGTTAAATAGAAATATTGCATTTTTTATTGTTGTTTCTGGGTAATAATCGTGATAAATGGACGGGATAACTATTCTATAGAATTTGTTCTTTGAAATCGCATAGTTGAAATTACAAAAATAGTTTCCCCTTTCCACCCTTTTCCATCCATTTCCATCCTTTTCCCGTCCATAGTCACAAAGTAATATCGAAATTATTTAATACTATAAATATTTAGAATAAATATTTTAAAATTTAAATCATATAAAAATCTTTGTTTTAAAACACACAGCCCAATACCACAATAAATAAATATTTTTAACAATGCAAATTTCTTTCAATTTCCGTTTTTTTTACAAAGGTACTTTCTGTGCGATTGGTCTTCGAACCTCCTAACCTCCGTCACATTTCCAGCGCTTCGCAAACAAAAACCGTTTTTCTGTTTGCCCATTTTTGGTCCCAATTGTTGTCCAGCGCATATTTGCTGTTCAATTTATTGCATAACATCAACTTTTTGGTGTATTTTTCCTGGCTTACTTTTTAAAACAATCAATTTTTGGACCCATACCCATACTATTGTATTCCTTATGATAAAAATTGCTTGCCGATTTAAGAACTAAAATTAAAAAAATTGTCCATTAATATATTCATAATAAAATTCATATTAATGAATATGTGGTGTACATACGAGTATGTTGAAAAAAAAAAATAATAATATACTAGTGCCATCATCTACTCTTATATAGCATGAAGGATACTTGATGATTTTGTTAGTGTTTGTTAGCAAATTTATTTATCAAAAATATATGATATATATAAATTATATTATCATATTATAAATTGCATTCCTTCAACGGCGGAGTGAGAGGTATAAATTGGGTGAAATCTCATTTGCTATTGAAGAGGCATGAGGAGCATCGAGGAAAGTCAATTCTTAAATATTCATCAAATGTGTAATTACACATGAAACACAAATACATTTCAGTGTCATTTTAAACTAATCGAAAACAATATGCATTTATTCCTTATGATAATTTTTGAGACATATTTGAGCACATATTTAGGATTGTACCAACACTCAAAATGGTGCAAAATAAATATATGGTAGGTATATGGTATAGAAGCGGCAAAGCGGTAAAACAGAACATCATAGACAAAATTTAATTTAAGCGATTAAACGAGAAGACACAACCCGACCACCCATCAGCAGCCCATAGCTCTCATTTCACATGTGAATAATACCTTAAACTTCGTAGAAAAGACTTCGAATCTTTGGACAAACTTCTAACTTTAGTTATTGATCCAGAAGCACGAAATGAAACAGGCTTAACACGCCCATTAAAGACGTTAAGACAAGATTTAACCTATCATATACAATAAAGAACGTTCACACGTTGAACTAGGTTAGTTAGTCCATATTATTATTTTGCAGCAGTTTTTCGTAATGTTTGGAAAGGGCAAGGTCCACAATTCTTGCTAAGGCTAAGTATCTACACAACAGGTGAAATCTTTATAATTGCTTATATTCCTCTTGATAGATATCGTAAAAATTGTTATTTAGGAATCCGAGGCACTGTGCATATCTGTATATTATTCAATATACAGTTAGAGTGCAGGTTTTATTAATGATTTGATTTCTATTTAAGTTAGTTAGTTGTGTAGTTCTAGAAAGGGTTTACTTATGACCAAATTTATAAGGTGCAAATTATAGTGTTTTGGAACATTGTTGTGCATTTGAAAAAGAAACAATATATTAGCAGTGTTAGCTGTTGTGGTATACATTATGTGCTGGTTTACAGATCGGGTTACATTGTTATTTGTTATGTCTACTAATCTGATTTAGAGATAACATGGCATTTGTTTTTATGAATAAAGATTGTTGGAATTTATTTGTCGCTTAACTTCCAATGATGAATATCAGTTTTTAATATATATCTTCCTAATAGTAGGTAGGTAGATTAGAGTGGGGTGTTATTTGCAAAAAGCCCACTTGAGCTCAAATAATGTCCCATTATGGTACCACAGGAATGCTGAAATGCTGAAAAAGGTAACGACTCCTCCATTAGGTAAAGGAAAACCAATCTGACAGTTCTATAAACTTGGCTAGGTACCTAATATTACAGGATAACAGCCCGGTCAGGTCGGTGAGAAGAGAGGCCCCGAAGATTTTTGATCTTCTCCTCACTAAAGTCATATCTGCGATATGACATTGAAGTGTTCAATAAAAGAGTATTTGAAGGATAAATAACCGAAATCATTGCAGTTCAAATATTCCAAGTGTTGACTTATGGTATTATGCTTAGTTCATTTATACATTTTGCAGTCATCCTAATTAATCTTGATGTCTGAGAAAAACAACCAAAATCGAACTTTACCGATGTCCTATAGATATGTGATAGTTTAGTAAAATCCTACTTCTTGACCTAATAAACTCACAAATTTCAATATTAATTGCCTGTCCAATATCTTACTTCGTTCTGAATGGTTTGAAGGGCGGAAATAGTTTATGGGTTTTGGTTGGAATTATTATTATCATAGTATATATTAGGATACTTATATTATTGTATACGCGACAGCATATATTAATAGCAGTCACTGTTATTTATATATTTGGTAGAGAGCTTACTACGCAATTTGTGCTACGCAGTTTTACTAAATTTACGCTAAGTTATATCTGAACAATGGCACATGTGAAAAGTTAAGTGACATATATGCGACAATGAAACCATAAAATTGATAACCCTGTATTGTTCAGCTACTGGAATCGCACTGTTTGAACAAAAGCTGGTAGCATATGACACATCTACACACAAAAAACGAGTACCAAAATGAGGCAAGTACGAACCCCACCGAAAAAGCTAAAACCAACTGTCACTGTTGATATATTTTTGTGTGTCCCCATAATAAGCTAAACGTAAAAATGACTTTCACAACAGACAATGTGAGGACGAGATATATTGCTGCATATGGGATGAAAACACAAATCGTCATTGGTGTTTTGTTTTAGTTTTTGTGTGCGAATTTAAGTAGAGAATTCCTTATTATCTGTAATTAAAAAAAACGTTTGCGTATCAATAACGTAAGCCTCGTCTTGTATCTCATAAATACATTTCAACGATATGATTCCATTTAAAATCAAAGAGTGATTTGGATAGAAGAAAATTTTGTATCGATTGAAAAAGTAAATGTCTCCTAATCTATTGCCCAGGACTTTTCAATTTTCAACTTTGCAAATGAAAATAAGCCTATTAAAGGACAGTAGTCGTCATAGTAAAAGTAACTTTATTTTTTCAAAATAAAAATATCTACAGATGCATAGAGCATTAATAATATTTTACATAAACAAGTACGAATATACATGTAAAAAGCATAATGTTTAATTATGAGCTCCAATACAGTGTTCGCTCGAAAACTTGAACTAATTAATCTCACAATTTTTGCTTATGTTGGAGATTTTGTTTACCTTTTTGGAGGAGATATGCGCATTTCATTGGGCAGTGAATGTAAAGAAAAAATGTTCACGTAATCCATTGTTAACGTTTTCGACCGAGCACTGTATTAATATATTTTATAGATTTTTGCTGAAACACTGAACACTCAGTTTTGGAATTTAATTTTTGGTCGCTATTTTTTAACTGAAATAATTACAAAAATTTTATGAAAAAAAATTGTTAATGGCTTTCGGTTGAAAATATTTACAAAGAGAATTTTTTACTCCTCAGAAAAATTATTTTGCATATTGATTTTTATTTAATATATTTGTGTTTTTAAATAATTATTTACAATTAGACATATGCAAAATAATTAACCTTAAAGTATTAAATTTTAGTAGGAGTTTCTTTAAAGTCTACTAAAAAGGAAGTTCACGTACGTTTTAAATTTTCATGAGTTTGGAGGAATAGGGAACCATCATGGTTAGGTGGAAGTTTATTTCCTTCTTTGCAGTGTCATTGTATGCTTAACTGTTATGATGATGTCTCTTTGTACCGCACTAGTTTACCTTTGGGAAACTATAAAATAATATTACTGTTTTCAAGGAATAATATAATCCTGCATTTCAGTTAATTAAGTAATTTATATTAAAATACAAAATTATTTAATGACACTCGCAAACGAGTTCATGTAGTTTAAAAACTAGTGCTGTAGAAATAATGTCAATGCCTAAATTATGCTTTTGTCATTTTTTTATACATTGAATGTATCTATTAAATCCTCTCTATCATCTCTATTAGACGAACAGAGAGTGTTTAAATTTTAAAACTACTTAGTTAACTATTTTATAGGTCTTTTATAATACACCTGGAAAGAATAGAAAGATACATGCTCCATCAATGTGTAGGTTATGGAAAATGTTATGAATAGAAGAGAAAAAGAAGACGAGTAATAACAATAATAATAATAAATAATAAAATAAAATACGTCTGAGTTTTTTTTAGGGAGGACTGATCTTTTAGTATGTTAGTATCTAGATTAATATAGGCATATATTTTTTTAACGTATTTTTATTTAAAATTTCATGTATTCTTATTTCACTATAGGTATATAAAGATCTTTGTGGATTTTCTCATTTTCGATCTACCGTGGAGTTCCTGTAAATACTATAAGTATATATAACTGAGTTCTTTGCAGATTTCAATATGTGATGCACTTGCATAGACTATGTATTCATATTAGTTTCATATGCTTAAACAGCCTATCCTGCTGCGAAGCTAAAGCAGTTTTACAATTTGAAGTTTGATTTTAATTTTTTTGCTCCCGCCATGTTAATCTTCACAGATCTTCTCCGAACAGAATAACAGCCACAAATCTTGATTCATTATAGATCTGACAGAATTGATTTGCGATTTTTCTTTAAGAAAGTTCAATCATTTCAACTTTTGCGGATTGGTTGATTGCAGTAGCAGGCAATTAGATAACTTCCATGTAACTCAAATAGCGATTTTGGTCGTTTTGCTACCACATTCCTCGCAAGAACCCTAGTATAGAAGAGTAGAAACTAAATCCAAATTTAGATAATTTAATAGTCTGTCTGATAAACTATCAAAGAAATATCTTTCTAAGAACCTTTAACTTCTGGACGCCAAAGCCGGGCATTATGGTATCTTTTTCCTGCGGGTTTCCACAACTTCTGCAGTGAGGATTATGGGGAATGCGCGGTATTGCGGATATTTTGTTATACGTTTTTGCATACAAATCTCAAGCAAACGAAATAAAAAATGTGATACGAATATGTGATATTGCAATTAAAGATGAATAAAAATCATTAAAAGTTGTCCCATCCTGTATTGTTTCAACACTATGAAAACATAAAAAAGTATTGAACCATTGAATATTATTTGAAATAGAAATAGAAAACTATGGAGTTTCTGGAGTTATGAGGCAAACAAATTTAATTGCAGTTACACATTTCAAAACATATCCTAAGAATTAAAACACTAGTATAGAATAGAATAGAAGCAACTGACAGACTTTGGAACCTGCGATGCACAATCGCAGGTGTGTTGATGCTAAATATGCTGAACTTAATTCATGTCCTTTGCTTTTTATCTGACGAAGCGCGCTGTAGTTTCCTTCGAATGCATTGATTTGGTTGGCAGTGAATATATTGTGAATTGCAGTAACTCTATTCCACGATATTTCACATAAAAAGATGCTTACAAGCGTTATTCAACCATTATGAATTAATTAAATATAATGGGCGATATGAACTCGTAAGACTTCTTTCTATTCAGGATTTGGGTTTGAGAACCCATTAAAAGTTTACTATCGAATGCATTTTTGAAAGTGTGGCAGGTAAAGAAATAAACCAAAAGCACCAATGATTTTTAGATATACACGTACCCACATTTGAAGTGTCTATGATTTTAAGTGAGAACCTTTTGGTTAGTTCCAACTGATAAAAGTCATTCAATGTTTGGCGGAAATAAGCCTATCTAGTTTTGTTTGAGAATTTAAAGGTGTATAATAGAGATATGCTTCTATTTTACAATATTTATTATATCATTGAAATAAATAATATTAAAAAAAAAAAAATTATAGAAATTATTTTGTAGTTTAATTTTAATTTGAGTGGAGTTACTATAATTGCTGAATATTTTATTTATTTAGATGGAAATGAATCTTATGAATTACAATAGCCATTTCTTCTTATGATCTTTTTTAAGTGTATAATCTTTAACAATTTTTTAAAATTAAAAACCATGAGCGGATTATAATTTCATGTGTCACCTTTGACAAATCAATTTCTACGTAAAAAAATAAATAAGCTTGGAACTAAAAGTTATTTTTAAATATTTATTGTTATTAATAGTAAGAATTAAACTATGAATGTTTTTCAATGAAGTACCGTTTGGGATTCTAAGATAAGTCGGAGATAATGTGATTTCTTGGGTACCATGATGTAAGAACCTATCTTGGTAAATATTTTGAGCAACATTTTCTACTATATTGCCTTTTCACACTAGTATTCCGAAGTTTGGGATAACAAGTGAAATCTTTAAAATGGACCAGAAAGTGATTTTATGAATTATGGGAGCAACTTTAGCTCTAAAATTGAATAAAGCACAATAGCACAAGGCTGTACCTTCTACCTAACCAAACATAGCTGATTAGTTTCAATTATGTGCTCTTGTAAATATCAATATTTTATAAATATCTTATAAGAAATATAAAATAGACAAAAATAAATAACTTACAGATAGAATTTTAAATGCATTTAAATTCAAAAAACTTTGTTTTGGACTATATATCGAATATTGCACATATTTTGACTCTATAGTCAGAATAATACTAAGTCAATAAAAAAAATATTATTTTATTGACTGAAAGAGTTTTACTAGGAGAAGTCCTCAGTTATACAATGCACATTTTGTTCACACTAGATCTAGACGATGTACCATACTAAGAAATGTAACATTCAATGTGTTAACATTATCCTACCATTACTTTTAGCAGAATATGTGATCGTCTTTGTTCGCTTTCCGGTTATTCTGAGAAAAATGCAGTCTTCCTTATTGAAATAAAACAAAAAGAATAAATAACAAATAAATACTATCAAAATTCGGAATAATTACTGACTTTTAACATAAAATTTTCATCGCTTAAATAATGAGGTTGAAATACTCAAAATATTTTTTTTTGAATGGGAACATATTCAATTAAATCAATTATTAACAGGGCAGCATGGCAACCTAATCAATTTTATATTATCCGATGTAGATCTGATTCCTAAAGAGACATTTCATTATCTTTGAGCTATAATGTGTTCAGAAGTCTATAGGATAAAGAAGTGTCTTAAATTCCATCTAATAGTATCGACTACGTGAATACAATTATGATATAATTAATTCTATCTACAAAATAGGCAACTAAAAGTCCTAATATCAAAAAGTCTTCATGTACTCTCTGCAATATATATATGAAATTGGTATATGAGACTTTTAAATCTTGGTTTAATGAATACCCGAAATATTGAATTCTCTAAATCGGGACTGTCCAGAAAGATACGTTCGGGGGGCAATACAAATTACTGTGCAGATTGAAGGGCCGCAGAAACAAGTACATACGTCCATGGTTTTTTGGAGATACGGTGAGAATGTTAAATATAGTTTTATAAATTTATTCATTTGAATTTTTTTGGCATATGGTATCCCAATAAAATAATGTAATTTTACCAAAGTAAATCAAGGGAAATATATCCCCGGCCGCATGTGGCTCGTGGACCGTGCTTTGGAAAACCCTGCTCTAAATAATAAGCAATCAACAACTTTATAACAGATGTTGTATATAAAATGCATTCGTGATAACAAAAACCGTTTACATCATACTTTCATGAATGTCAACTGTGTATCCATTAATCGAAATTCATAACATTAGTCAGTGTGGAATTATTCCAACTATTAACTAATAAGTTGATTTTTATTCCATAAATTTTATTCAATATTCTGTCGAGATTATAATTTTAATTGCAAAACAGTTTGCATAATAACATATTTTTATAAGTTGTTAATATTAATATTGTATATAATTACGTTCCGATTACATAAAGGGTAAACATAGATAAATGTAAACAATAAATTTATAATAACATATTACGAAGTACATTGTTCCCATTTTTTTTTTATAAATTTTACTTACTCAGAATAAAAGCATATACCATATATCGAATGGTTCTATGAGGCACATGCCGCAGCCCAGTTTTCTCGTTGCATAAAAAGTTTCGCGTCATTTTTCATTCACTGATTTAAGTCGTCAATAAGTTTTCAAACCTCAGCTCTGAAGAACAATTATATTAATTAAGAAGCACGCGACTTCTGTTGATGGGAACGAGTGTTCATATCTGAATGTTCCACAAACATCAATTTACAAATTTTAAACAAATAATTGTTATTCAAAAAATTTAATATTAATTACCTTATGAAAAACAAATATATGTACATATATGTGCACATACCTCAGTGATGAATAATGATTGTTATTAACGCGTTGTGAAAATGTAGTTATGAAGGTATATGAGAAAAAAAGATTTACCTTTGACTGCCACATAGGAATGTGCGGCAATAAGGTTGTATATTATCTTTATATAAATCTGATCCAATACATTCAATTGTTCCTAGTTATCATTAGCATTTAAGTTCATTTTATCAACAAAATTTGGACAAATGATCTTAGCAGTAGTTAATTTTTATGAGTTACGAGTTCTTTATAAGAAACTCGTATATCCCGTTTATAGATTTTGAAACATTCAAATACATTCTCTGCTAATGTCACAAACTAAAGGGTAGCAGAAGTATCCATTTTCGGGACAGCCATTTACAACATATGGAGCAATACAAAATCATCAAAGGTGCTCACCTTAACAAACGATCGATAAAAGCCACTTAAGTGAGCATAATAGACCACCTGAGTCATGTACTATATAGTAGTCTTCACACAATAAAAATAATAATGATTTATAAATGTTATAAGAGTTTTGAACTATATAAATTATTTGGCGCAGCTTGACGGTTGAATATGTTTTCAGTTCTGTTTAAAGTATCGTGAAACTTAAAGCTTAAAATTTGTTTTCTTTTGTATGATCCTATAAGCGATTGTAATATCTGTGATAAAAATATAGAAAATACTTTCCGGCAAGAACATAATATTGTAAACGTAACAATGTCCAGTCTACCAAAAGCATCCCGAAAGATTTTATTATGAAAGTAATGATTCACATTACTAATATTTTATTCATATATAAACTATTTTTAGGGCCCAAAATTAATGTTTTTAATTCTACTTAATATACGAATTTAGAATATCTATTGATTCATTTATAATTAACTTTAAAAATCTCTTTTGAAGGTAACGGTAGAGGAGTACAATAAATTATTTAAATGATACATTTTATTTACACTAATTTAAGCGCAGTGCAGACTACCATTTTTGAGTGTCATACAGAGAGAGATATTATTGAGCAAATCATTCAGCTAAAAAGTTGGATTCGTTATTCAAGAGCATATTTTTGCATTATTGCACTAAAACACTAACAGCATGCGAAATACACTTACAACGTGCGCAAACACCATTATTCTTGAAAAATTTTGCTTGAATGACAATTATTGAATGTGATCATGTTCAACTTTGGTCGCTAGAATAAATTTGAGCAAGAGAGAGCGCAACTTGAATGACATTCAAAAATGATAGACTGCAAAAGCAATGCATCTCAAAACTTCAAAAATAATTTTGTTTTTAGAGCTTCTTAGAGAGAATTCCTAAAATATTTTTTAAAAAGGATCATTTGAAATTTATTTTTTTAAGTGCGCATTCTTTGGTTAACTAGATTTCATTGTGCAAAATTACAAAAATGATCATATTCTCCTCTCACTCTCTCTCTCTCTCTTTCTTCTATGAGAAACTGATTTAGTGCTATGTCGCTGACGTGTAAATCCCTAATGTTTCCAATATGGCGTAACATGGATCTTTATAAATTTTTTTGATAGGGAAATATTACATATACAATGTGCAAGATGGACAATATTTATACTAAAATTATTATACAAAAAAATGAAAATATGAAAAAAATGTAAATGAAAATGATTAGTTCCTCCATCTAAATTTAATTTTATTCACTTCAATGTTTTTAAATTATAAAACATATTTAGCAATGCTAGAATACCTTATGACGTTTATTTTCTAAATTATAAATTATGAATTTAATTTATTTTTGTCAGGATATACTCAAGATATTCTCTTATAGACCTAAAAATTGCACTTATTTTCATGGGTGGAAACAAAATTATATTCAGTAGTTGTTAATTTTAAATAATAAATGGCAGTCATAAGTATTAATATTAATAAAAGAAATGCAAAGAAATTAAGTTTAATTTAAGAAGTACCCTTGTTGTTGAGATATCTGATTTTGTTAGCTAACTTTTATTTTCTGAAGTTAAATATGAATTTTTTCCTTAGATTTACTAGCTACATTTCGTTTTCAGCAATTTGTGCTAATCTCGCACAATTCCCAAGACGTACGCTGAAATAATAAGCTCTCATCCCCTTTAGGAGCAAACACAGAAAGTATTCGAATCGTAAGTCAAAAAATGTTCATAACGAAAGTAATCATCATTTGGACAATTTTAATACTTTTGTTTTATCCCTTTGAGTGTCATGTTGGTATAACCACGCTTTCGGTAAAGGATTTTTTTAACATTTTCTTTTATTTTGACATTTAAGTGCCAAAAAGTTTAACAGCTTTCCCTTGGCTCCTATAACTTGAGCAGTTTGTAACTGAAAATTGAAATTCACATGAGCTGAAAGTTATATATGAATTAAAATTTGTCCTCCAGATAATCATGTTATTTACAAAATTCTAAACATTCAATATTTGCGGATTAGAAAACTAGTACAATAATTCTATGGGGTTATTTATACTCTCCAGTATAGAATAAGTAGATTAAACTACTTATTCTATACTGTCATCAAACTATATCTATATATGTATATATATCGTGTCTATATCTTGTCTGTCCCAAACTTATTGTCTTCACATATATTTGAACCATAATATGTTAAATTTATCAAGATATTTCCAAACAATTTGCATCTAAAAACCAATAAACTACATATCATCTAACTAGGAATATGTCTCGAATAGTATTATACTAAGTTTCATTGTCTCTATGTACACCAGCAAAAGTCAATATGTTTGTAACCTGATGTTATCGGAAAACCAATAACTACAAATTATCCTTGTTTGATAAATTAAAGAAAATAAACAAATTCATATTTCTCTCTGAGCTCGTTGCGAAATGAAATTTAGCTTCTAAACTTTTTAAAAACCGTTCAACAATATTTCTTAAAGTCCATTGATGCACAATATTTCTTGAGTGACTATATCGTGTATTTGTTAATTATAAAATTCAGTTAAAATTCGATATATGCGGCATGATGAAAATGTTTATTAATCCTACTCCCAAAACCTTCAAACCTCTGTATGAGTAAAGGAGTATAAAAAAATATATTTTTTATTAGACGGATTCGAATAGCAAAGAAAGGACAAAGACAAAAATTTTTTTTTTTAATTTTAATTTATTGAAATTTGGTTGACCATACAACGCTGTTTCGAGTAGTGGCAAGTACTCTTCATCAGTGGTCTTTGGAAATAATCGAATTTTATTTAATTAGTTTATAGTAGGTTGTGTCATTGTTATTATAACAATAGCACAACCTACTGTAAAAAACAGTGGGACCCTCATAGATCCGAAACACTTTACGATATCATTAGGCGATCTGCTGTTCCTGTTTAATCAGCTCGAGTAAACTCTTTGTTTTCCATACAGGCTTTATATATTTTGCATCTAAAATTTTTTCAATTTATAGTTTATTTACGATCTATCTTATGCAGATAAATAGTTACGTAATTCAGGACTAGAATAAGTTTCTTTTTGCTCTTATTGAAGTAAAAATAATTAGAGCTCATTAAATAATTAGATTTTATCTATAAAATTGAAAATAAATTGAAAAAAAATGTGCCAGCTAACAGCATTTAGAAAAAGAAAATAAAAAATAAACTATCTATTGTTAAACTTTATTTCATGTTTTCTTTTTTCTTAATGCTGTTACCTGGCACTTTTTTTAAATTTTATACTGCGGTTTGTTTGTCATACACATTTGAGAATGTTTGGTTTCATCATATTCTCTAGTTGTAAACAATTACATAAAAAATAAATTGTTAATAGCATTAAATAAAAAATTGAATAATATAACATCTCTAAATTATATCATTTTGAAATATCCGGCTTTATATTGAATAAAAATATTTTGATCATGTTAATAAATTATTAATTAAAAATTTTTTCCAATCAATCAACAGTATTACAATAATTTTAAACCTTACAATTTATATAATCTGTACTAATAGAATATTAAAAATATAAACAATAATGACTTTATTATGGAAATAAACAACGATTAATAACGTATACTGAGTAATTAACATGAGATTAAAATTAAGAATTGAAAGGTAATTATTATTGCAATTTTAATGTTATAATATATTAAAGATAATGTATAAATATTATGTTATCCAATATAAGAATAATTATCAATACATTATTTTACTATTATTATTATTATACATTATCAATACAGTAAACTATTGAATTACACAGATAAATACGACTTAGCTTAAATAAAATGCTTAATACTTTTAATAATAAATGTTATATATTTAATAAATTAATACATATGTATATGTGGATTCAATAGAACTAACAGAAGTGGACAATAATCTTTACTTGCAGAGGGGAATACAATATAAGCCATATAATACATATGTATATGGCTTATGTTGTAAGCTATTATATATAACCATATATATATGGCTTGATATATATATATACTACATATAGACATAGTTATATGGTTTAAAGCACGTCATAGAATACATTTGTTTAGATTAACATAAGCATATCAGAGTTTTAGCTTTTGAGATCTGTTATGAACTTGGAACTAAATTTCGATACAATTAGGTAGTTAAATATGGCATTGGATCTATGCACTATGAAGGTTATTTCCAATAATAGATTAATAAAAATATTCAAGACCACTGATGATGGGTATTTGGCAACACTCGAAACAGCTGTATGGTCAGCCAAAAATTCAATTAATTAAAATAATATAAAAAATAAAATTTTTGTTGTTGTAGTTCACTACTGTTCGAAAAAACCTCTTAAATAAAAATATTCAATCGTTCTTGCAGTTTTTGAAAACTTCAATACTGAGTAATTATTAGAAAAACTTGTGGAAGGATAGTGCGCTTAATATTGTTGATGAAACTGTTTTATGTATGGGAAGTTATGGTTCT